TATATATATATATATATATATATATACAGATGACTATTTAAGTTAATATATATACATATATTTCTCAAGGTTGTATAAACTGGATAATATATGCACGTCCGAAAGAAGCTGTTATTTTAACAAACAAAACAACAATACAGTCAACAATAAAAACATTAAATCACCGTGGCTTTTAGAATTCTGTTAGATCTGTATTTACGTATGCAAATCAACAGTATGCAATGAGACTCGTGTCTAAGTTCACCGTCAGTATCGGATATAAACTTAATGTTCTATACTGCTTTCGAGAAGCCAGCTGGGTAATTATATCTCCGTGTAGTGAAGATTGACAACGGTCTATATACCTGTTTGTGTCTAAACTCTAAAGTGATTAACTGGGGCGGGCTAATTTTTTTCATTGAGTGCACTTTGCCTGGTGTGTCTAATTATATAGATGTATTAATATAATTCATTATCGGTGTTTTTGTGTGGAATTCTATCCAAGTCGGTAACATCTTGATACAAGGGATACCAAAATAGGTTATTATCAAAACCTGAAACGGCTAATTTACACGTGATTACTTACACACATGAGAGCTCCATAACATTTCTTCGATTTACGCGAAACTTTCCTTGCTATTATTCTAATGCCTAAGCAGGTGTTATCAATTAAATGTATATTATTCTAATGCCTAAACAGGTGTTACCAGTTAAATGTTGACTTTTATCGCGTTCATTTCTTACTTTTATTATTGACACTGCTGTAAGTATTATACACACAGTAACATTTACATAAAAAAACAGCTAAAATTTGGCAAAAATATGTATATACGTATAATAAGTAGTATTATCATACGATCCTGAAGTGCAACATGTAGATATTTATCAAACGTATCATTTACCACTTAGTCATACGTTAACACCTGATGTATCCGATACTTACCACAGGGTCGTAAACGGACACTTAATGTATCTGATACTCATTCACTTTGTCATATACTAACAACTAGCGTAACTTATAGTTACCACTAAGTCATACACTAACACCTAATACATCTGACACTGATAAGTCATATACCAACATCTAATATATCTGACACCACGAAGTCATATATTGACACATAATGTATCTGATACTAACTATTAAGCCATATACTAACGCATGGCTTACCTAATACTCACCATTTTGTTACATTCTAACACCAGGCATATCTTAAACGTACCACTAAGTCATACATTAACACCTGATGTATCTTATACCTACCACTGACGAGTACTTTAACACCTGACATGTCTGGCACCACTGAATCATACGTTAACACTTGATATATCTGATACTCACCACTTTGTCACATTCTAACACCTAGCGTGTCTTATAGTTACCACTACGTCATATACTAACACCTAATATATCTGGCACCACTAAATCATATACTAACATCTGACTGTTCTTATATAATTTCCAAACATATAAAACTCACCAGAATCGTATTAACAGACACCCTAACTTACACTTACAGTATAGTAATAATTCCTAGACATAACGCATGTTTAGACAGACAAAAGTCATAAAAACAGTTACCAGCTAT